AACACAAAAGAGAAATAATTAATTGAAGGTTTAATGTATGGGAGAGACAAAATGGATTTAGAGCTCCCATCGTAAATCACAGACTTCTGCCAAGTTAGTGCTAAGAATTTATACTGTAATGCAGTGGAAATGGTGGCAAGGGCAATGGAAGAAAGACAAAGCTTAGGCTGATAATGGGAAAAGAAATGAGAGCATCAAGAAAGCCTTCTTGCGAGACTGTGTAGAGAAGGCACCATTTGACATCGGTCTCCTGCGATTGCAGAATATTCCGTCCAATGAGAAAGGAGCGCATGCTTGGATCTAGGAAATGCAGGGTCTGAGGAAATGCTCCGTAGTGCTGTGCTTATAGCATACCAAATCTGTTAATCCGTGCGATTGATTTTGTAGCATCTTTCCCCAAATTCACAAATCTAAAACAGTCATACAAGTAGCTCTTTTGATACAACGGTAATTGTTATAGCTTTCTTTTGTAGTGCAGATTGGAAAACAAGCACTGGGGACATAACAGGTGACACAGAAAGAACTATTGTCTGTGCAGACTATTTCACCCTGGTGCCATGGGCTTGAATGACCACTTGTACTTAGTGGGATAGATGCTCTGGACGATGGCGGGGAGGGGAGAAATAAGACTCTTGAAAGAGGAAGAAGCATTCCCCCCCCCCCCACTTTAATGAGTGATACAAGGATCCTGTCCTTAATGCATTGACAAGCAAAACTAAGGGAGTTTATAAAACTGATTGGTGGTTTGAGTACGTCTGAGACCTCTAAGGAGCACAGTTCTACTTAGACCCACATGGAGTGGCCAGGGGCCAGGGCTTACTCGAGAACAACTGCTTAGTTCATTGCATCTGGGATTCCTGAGTACCCTTCAGATCCACTTGTGGTGAGTTTGATCTTCAATGTCAAAACTGTTTTCCTTAAAATACTAAGATTCAAGTTGACTTTTTCACATTCATTTTTCCAGTGTGCAGAGGAATCTTCTGCTCTACCCTGGGACGATCCACATAACTCAGTGAAGTCAGTCATTTTCCAAAGGACTAATCTACAATGATACAAAATCATGCCAATGTGCTGAGCCAATCAAGCGATCAGCAATGGATTTTAATTTAGCAGAGTATGAAAGTCTCTTGGTAACACTTCAGATTTCCATGATGCAACTCATCTTTAAGAAACCACCTCTTGCACAGTTTCTGTGAAGCATCAAAGAAGAATATCCATGATTATCTGAATAGCAATAAAGTATTCCTCACTGTTCCCACTACACGTCTTTGTGATGTCAGATTTTCTTTATATACTTTGAACAAAAGACTATGGTTGCAACAGATTGAAGGGAGAAACAGATGTCAGCATTCAGCCAGATATGAAAGGGATGAGCATAGCTCTTTATTTGCATAAAATAATGTTGCTTCTCTCACTAAATATTTTTTGGTTTACAATTTTAATTATTTTTCATAAAATATCTTCTCTGTGTTGACATGTAATGAAGTCATTTTATTTTTTTAAAATCATTTTATTGGGGACTCATACAACTCTTATCACAATCCACACATACATCAATTGTGTAAAGCACATTTGTACATTCATTACTCTCATCATTCTCTAAACATTTGCTGCCCACTTAAGCCCTTGGCATCAGCTCCTCATTTTTCTCCCTTCCCTCCCCGGTCCCTCATGAACCCTTGATAATTTATAAATTATTATTTTGTCATATCTTACACTGTTCGACTTTCGTTACACTGTCTCCTCTCACCCACTTTTCTGTTGTCCACCCCCCCATGGAGAAGGTTTTATGTAGACCCTTGTAATTGGTTGGTTCCCCCTTTCCACCCCATCCTCCATCCATCATCCCTCCACCCTCCCGGAATCGCCACTCTCAGCAGTGGTCCTAAAGTGATCATCTGTCCTGGATTCCCTGTGTTTCCAATTCCTCTCTGTACCAGTGTACATTCTCTGGTCTAGTCAGATTTGTAAGGTAGAATTGGGATCATGATAGTGGGGGAGGGGAGGAGGAAGCATTTAGGAACTAGAGGAAAGTTGTATGTTTCATCATTGTTACACTGCACACTGACTGGCTTGTCTCCTCCCTGTGACTCTTCTGTAGGGGATGTCCGGTTGCCTACAGATGGATCTTGAGTCCCCAATCTGCACTCCCCCTCATTCACAATGATTTGATTTTTTGTTCTTTGATGCATGATACCTGATCCCATCGACACCTCATGATCACACAGGCTGTGCTTCTTCCATGTGGGCTTTGTTGCTTCTCAGCTAGATGGC